ACAAAAAATCATGCCATGCCGACGCTCTGTTGTGACGTGAAAGAAGGACAAACTTTTGGAACATATTCTATTTTCCCACGAGAATGAGATAGATGTTTTTCCGCGGAAAAAAAGTAACCTATGTCACTCTACAGCCACCGCACTATCTCCGTACAAAAAATCATGCCATGCCGACGCTCTGTTGTGACGTGAAAGAAGAACAAACAAACAAACACACTTTCGCATTTATAATATTAGTATGGATATGGATTTTGATTTAATATTATTTCGTGGGACAGTAACGTGTCACGTACTAAACATTACTTGATTTATTGTTGTTTGGAATTGATACAGAGCCGGATAATAGTTATCTACTATATATATGCGGCGTTTAATTTTCTGTTCTCCAGCGCTACGCAATTTGTTTTTTGTTTTTGTTTTTTTTTTTTATTTGATATTAATTTGACATTAAACGCAAATGAAATGTGTCTTAAATCCCTTTACGCAAAAAAGATAAATGTTGTTTTCTCGTATAAAATATACATTTGTGATCATGCAAATAAAATATTATATATATAATATATAGTAGTCTTAAACTGCAAATTGATCCCGATTATGTAGTTTAGAATTACCAATCGCTTTCGTCGTTTGACAATTTATTATGCCGCATGAAGCGAGCTGCCAGACGGCTCCAACGTATAGCTCAGAGTGACGTCAAGTCAGCAGTTCAAGTACACTCACGTGACGTACTCGTACCTTGATTGCCACCTATCGATATCCCAATATTTAATGGTGATATTGAAACTTGTCCGTTATTTATTGCTAGTTTTCAGAATACTGTACATAATAACTTCTGAGCGAGCCTCTCCCTTAACGACATCCTTTATACTGGACAAAATTTACAGAGCAACCTATTTGATATAATAGTAAATTTTCGTTTGTTTTGTATTATGCTATCCGCTGATATGCGTCAAATGTTTCTTTGCATTGGGATTTGTGAATGCAATCGTCGATTCCAGCGCATTTTATCGTCCTACGCCGTCATTCCCAGAAATGGCGGACCTGTCGGGTATCATAATCCTCAAATCCCTATATGCACACTGGTTCAGATTTTGCGGGCCCGTTTAAGGTTACGCTTGTAACGCTACGCGTAATGTATGCTCCACGAAGGCGCATGTTCGTTATATGGATTTTAGTGTTAATTTAGATTCGTGATTTTTTCTTTATATTTAGGAGAAAGTACACAATAAATTCAAAATGCTTGTATACGTTTACCCATAAGAGATAGCTGGACAAAAGATATTAAATTGTCTATTAAATTAGCAAATGTCTTATATCATTTTGGTGGATTGTAATTAAATAATTTACTTTTCATTCATGTGATATATTTGTGTTTCACTTTAGATATAAAAATGTACTAAGTAATTTAATTTAATTTTTAAGGTATTGATCATTTTATTTCGAATTAGTTTTATAATCCAATGAACAGCAATTTTAGAACTACCACTTTCTTATTGTTTGAATCTCATCATCTACGTATATATAATATCATGGAAGTTACCAAGAAATAAAAACAAAATTAAGACTTCTTGTTTTAGTTTATTTTACAGCTTTATTAAATACAATATTTTCTAACATACTAAACTCAATATATGTGGAAGGATATGTTTGACTTACAACTTGCGATGAGGTGATCGCTACCATACCTGTTCTATAAAAATTCAGTAAAAAATGTACAAAATAAATTATTGAAAAGTGAAAAATTATGTTTAAAAAATTCTTCTTGGTTTCTTGCTGATTCGTCCCAGGACAGAATAAATAATCTATGTTGAATAAAAATCATTAATTTAATTTCACAGTTAATGAACTGGTGTCTTAACTTAAAGCGGGCTATTTGTCTGGAAGGATTACGGTGAACATCGGTGCCGTTTGGTTTATTGGTGTCCAACGCTAGAACGTGTTAGGTCTATTTTATTTATTGGCCACGAACAAGATTGCGCTTATTGCATTAATACATTCTAAAAGTATGATTTCTTATATTTACACGTTCTAATAAACTCTATCTTACTATAAAGTCCTCTTGTGAATGATAGTACTTATATAGAGATGTAAATAGTGCTTGTAAGGCCTGATGTATATGCATGTCTCGCTCTTACAACGTATATACTGAATGTATGTATCATGTAGTGGCGGTGTAAGAATATCCGCTATCCCATGTCAGACTGTGGGTGTCGTAAGATGCGACAGAGGGAAACAATTTAGCAGATGGCCGCCGGTTTCTTACCAACAACAACTATAACATATAAAACTGTGCTCGCTATACGTGGCAACTATAGCAAATATTCCCCCCACGAGTCCATCGATAGGGGAGGTCTAGAATATGATCATAAACTGCAGACTTCCCGGAACGTTGATGCTTTACGTCAGCTATATGTTATTTTATGCGGATTCTAATTGATTTTTTGTTTGTCCTACATGTTTCTATGATCTCAAATATATAGGGCAAACAAAAATGCATAAATTTATATATTAGATCAATTCTAGACGGCCCCTACCATTATATCAGATTTGATAGACCACAAGTCCTCGCGAAAGAACATCGATTCCTACCAAGGATGATATGTGAGGCTATTGAAACTAAAAAGCATCCTTATTTCAATAAAGAGGCTGTGTACTACCACCCGCATGGGACCTCGTAATTTATAAAATAAAACTAAACCCAAGAACACCACAGAAAAATTTTAAGACACAGTCAGTTCATTCTGCGTAGATCGGACCATAAATAACAATTAAATTGAAGGTATTCCGGGTTAATACTGACATTGGGACGTCAGTCACCTCTCAGTCCCCCGGACCATGGGTGCTACAAAGCACCCGAAATGTCGGAAATTAAAAATCACATAAATTAAACGCGATAAAATCCATAAAAGTAGTTTTAGTCAATAATAGTTATTCGTTTGTTATTGCACTATAATAAAAACCGTGATATTTAGAAAATAACGTATAGGAATAATATAAAATCTCAAAATTATAAAAATGATAATGTGATTTTTCAATCTCAAGATAATGTAAGTTTTAAGCATTTTTGTAGCATCAAAAGGGTGCAAGATTATGCCTACTGCCCATCTCCTATTATAGATATCGTGATGATATATATTTATTTTTACTGTTAGGCACCTGCGTAACACAAAATTGAAAGTCCCATCCAGATCCGTCCTTTGGATCATCACACAAAAACAGACAGACAGACGTTTCCCAAAAATTTTGTTTTGGGATCTGTATCAATAGTGTGATATAAAAGTAAAAGTAAAGTTACAGCCTATACACGTCCCACTTCTGGGCATAGGCCTCCCCTCATTTCTGAGAGGGTTTTAGGGCAAGGAAGTGTCCGCCGCGATGTCACAATGCGTGTTGGCGAACTTCACATGTCTTCGAAATATTTTTTTCTTTCATTACTTCTCAGACATGCCAAACCAACATCAGACCAAACTTCGCGTTGTATTCAATGCGAGTCACAAGACGACTAATGGACTCTTATGGATCTTTAAATGACATTGTTTACACTGGACCGAAGTTACAGGTTGATTTGGTTGATATTATTACTGGATTTCGGATTCATAATATAGTGTTCACATGTGACATATCTAAGATGTACAGGCAAATCTTGATAAGGCTAGAGGATCGAGTGTGGCAACACGTACTATGGCGTGAATTCTAAATTCTTTGCCTGTCAATCTAACTCGTACTGATACGAACATTACATAAGTTAGCTACAGATCACGGTGATCAGTTTCCTCATGCTGCTGAAGCTCTTCGGCATCATACTTATATGAACGATATTATTACAGGTGCTTCCTCAATCGAAGCAGCCTCTCAGCTTAAAGAAGATCTGATCAATCTTCTTAACTGTGCTCAGCTAGATTTACCACAGATGATACGTGAGGCTATTGAAATTAAAAAACATCCTAATTTCAATAGAGAAGGAGGCTGGGTACTACCACCTGCTTGGGACCCTATAATCAATAAAATTAAAACTAAACCCAAGCATACCACTGCAAGACCTCAGGACATAGTCAGTTCATTTTGCATAGATCGGACCATAAACAATAATTAAAAAAGCTGAAGGTACTCCGGGTTTAACAATGACATCGGGACGTCAGTCACCTCAGTCCCCGTGACCATGCGTGCTGGAAAGCGCCCGAAACGTCGAGAATTAAAAATAAAAATAATTAAAAGTAAAATTAAACGCGATAAAATCTGTAAAAGTAGTTTTAATCAATGTGTACTGTTCGCGTAAATATAAGAAATCATTACAGAGTATTTAATTAAAATTTTATAATAATTATAATTTATTTAAATGTAATATAATAATGAGTTCTACTTGAAATTAAATTAAATAAAAAAGTAACTCGAAAATTTCTGGACCGATTTTGGTGAAAATATTTGTGTATGTTTGAGTGGGTCTCCGGATAATTTAGATTCACAATTGGACCCGGTAGGTGGCGCTATTGTCGAGATCCAGAAATCATCCGTGCAAACGCGGGGTGGATCGCTAGTTAATAAATAAATATATAAACAATAGTATTTTTTCCAAATCCGTCGTTGCTTTTGCTTCGTGACTTAAGTTTTAAAAAAGATAATACAGCGAATCGAAGAACAAATTACGATGTGTATGTTTTACTTACGCATAGAACCGTGATAGCTCGGGGATTAAGCGCTCACCATTATTTTCACAGTACCGTTATGGCATTTCTAAACTCCAAATTTTAACGCGCGTTTTTAGTTTATCATTGAATACGCTTGAGTTTCGAAGAGTCAGGTTTGTTCCGGTTCAGTCGTTATTAGGCTAGGCTACAAACAGACAAACAGAGGTACTTTCGTACTTACAAAAATAGTGGATATTGTACATATTATTCCATGTTTAGTATCAATAACTTTCATTAAATTAATCAAAAACTTTCAGCGAAAAACCACTATCATACATTCATGGGTTTTCCCATACAGTGAGCGTAACGAACATTTTACGATCTTGGCACAAACTTCACTAGCAATGGTTCTCCAGGTGCTAAAAACAAGTTTCTAGCCTCAATTTTTGCTTCTGAAGGTTTCGGAGTATTTGGCAGGGCACGAGCTTCGTAAACAAGGAACATTGTAGCTAAGGTGTTCCGAAGGTTCATCATAGCGAATCGACGACCTATTGAACAAAAATAAATTATGTAGAGAATTATTTAGTTACAATAATAATTAACAATGTCTGCCAGGCCGAATTTCGGTCTGGAAAATTTCGGTCGGTGTCTAAACACAGACTAACCATCGGCGAGAGACAGTATTATACTGCCAGAGTGTATGCGCAAGCACAAGTGCACTATCTAATCCCTCACTCTCATAGTGCGATGGATGGTAATCAGGACCAACGGCCTTACGTGCTTTCCGAGAGGCACGGAGGTAAGACACCACCAACTTCCTGACTCCGAGCTGCTACTGAGAATTTCTTGACAGAAAAACCCAATAGCTCATTTTTAGCTGACTCTGGATTAGAACGGGACCTCATGATGAGCAATCCTGTTCTCGTAAACACGAGACTCGTTAGGCTAGTGTTCGTCCACTAGACTAACGAGTCAGTCAGATATTTATTAAAATTAGAGGTCATCCAGTGTCATTCATAAAATTTTTAAATTTGTATATTCAGCAAACTGTCTTTCACTTTCAGTTCTCAGCACTGAATGACCTTTTAACCGTCTGGAAAAAATGGGGTGTAATATGTGAACGGAGTAGAAGCCTATGGTACTGATATTTTACAAAAAATAAAAACAAAACTCTTGAATTAAATAAATTAACTAATGAAAATCTATCGAAATTCAAATCATATTCACCCTACTTTACGAACGGCAATGAAACAATAAATTTAGTAGGTAGGTTTAATCTATGCTTTCAACTGCGTATTAATATATAAAATACAAGTATCTTATTTACACAAAATATAAAATAAAGGATTTTTCGCCTTGATATACACTCCAGAGTCTATTGAAAAGGAACATAAATCACACGAAATTCACAGATCATTCAATCAGTCAGTAGCTATTACGTTGGCAACATTTTCAAATACTTTGGCCACAATCTCTACTCTGTGCAATTGTTTCACCATAGCTTATTATGAGAGTTTTTGGCGGAAACCGGCAGCGGATTGCTGCTCCTGCATTATAGTTGCGGCACGCTATGATGGCCGTTTTGACGTATTACAATAGTGATGCAAAATGTCAATTTATTCTCGAAAAAATATAATGAATTCTATAAGTTTTTATTACAAGTAGTACCTGATTAAAAAGGTTTGATAAAAAAATATAAATGCTTACTTAATATATTTGAATGAACTGAATATTGGAATGAAAATGAATATACTTACTTTATATGCACACAAGAAACAAATTAATACAAAAAGAGAGCAAAAAAAGGTGCCACAAAAGGCTATATTTAATCAGATTCGTTCACACTGCTATTTTTACTGTCGTCACTGCTATCATCACCTACATTAATTATAAGTTCGTTTTCTAAAATATTATATATGTTCACATCTCTTTCATAATTTTCCCTTATTAATTTAACAGTTCTATTCACAAGCTTTTCCCAGTCTCCTTTAGTCACATGTTGATAAGCTTCTTCTAATATTTTTAGAATTTTTGTTATGGTAAATGGGGGTTCTGTATTGTGTCTTGCAGCATACTCCCTTAATTTGAGCCCACACCAACTCAATTGCATTATATTCACAATGGTGAGGCGGTAACCGTAAAACTCCTTGCCCATGTTCTAACGTTATTTCGTCAATGACGTATCGGATATCTTGGTTGGATTGTTTTCTTTTAAAAGACGTACTAATTCCGCTTATAATATATTTATGTTTGCATCTACTCCATTTTTTGAAGCCATGCGACGATGTCAGCTTCCTTTTGGGATTGGGCAGGTGGCTTGTCAATTTGCATCGAGTGGTATGAGGCATGTACAACACATAATTATAATGGATGGTTCAGGAAGGCTACACAACATTGAGGTAAACCAGATATAGCATTGACGCAAGTTTACCGGAGGTAGTAGTTGTGTGGCCAGCGATCCTATGTGACGATCGTATTAAATTTCATTTCTTTTAAATTTTTAATTCGAAAAACAAATGCCGAGTTGTGTGGTAAATAAGTACACCAACAATTGTAATCTTATAAAAAAATGTTCGCGGGACCCTAATATATATAGTTTAGAAATCAATGTAATAAATAAATTTTGTGTCCTAAAATAATACATTTGATAAATTTAATGACTAACTGCACGTCACTATTGACAATAAAGAACACCAATTTGCTCCTTCAAATGTAATTATAATTAATACGAAACTTCATGAGTGAACAAACGTCAAAACGACCATCATAGCGTGCCGGTAGTATAGTTTAAATAATGGCTTGAAGTGGATTTTATGTATAACAAGTCTACGCATGTAAGCTATTAGTAAAACAAGTTCTCCGATGGTGATGTGAGTTCCAAGACAAGGTGTCTGTCCGCTTAGGCGCCTTGAGATACTATCGCCAACTGTCTGTTGACTCAAGTTGCCGTCAAAATCTCCCAAAAGCTACACAATGTGAAACATCAACATATTGTGATGCAGTGTACTAAAAAACTTGATATTGAAAATCCATAAAAACAAAGATCCCGAATGAAATAAAGACCTGGCTTAAAGGACAAGCATCCAAGCCCATAATCTTCATAAAACATTGCCTTTTATGTTTTTTACATTGGCAATATGAATGTAAATAATTAATAATGCATTTATTTTTTCCCCTCAGATATGAGGTGAGGCCTGTGCCCAGCAGTGTGATGTGTATAGGCTGTAACTTTATTTTTTACTTTTACTTTTATTTTTCAATTTAATGAATTTGTAACACATATTTTATAATAAATTTTAGCTTTTAGCACAACTTCTTTGTATAACCTTTAAGTATACCAAATCTCAGGCTCCTCCGTAGGAACTATTCTCGTATGTGAACTATTTATTAAAGCATCAAAATCACTGGAACTAACAAACAAGACTATGGTGACCAAAGAGATTTAAATCTACTACTTAAACGTCTTTGATGGCGACCAATTTAATGCGGAAAATCTATCCCAGAAAATTGTTAAAAATTTTCAGATCGTTACTATATATTATAAAAAGCATATTTCCAATACGAGGGTATATCAAGTGTACTCAACAATCCGCCGCTCGGGATTATAAGTCTAGGCTAGTCTTTCCGAAATGAGCTAGCGCTATCTTGGAAAGATCTAAATCTTAGAAAAACCTTTGTACATGGTAGAGCCATGCTGCAGCTTTATTTGTAGGATAGTTGTAGCACGAATGGGTCGGTACAATCGAGGAAGGACCACGCTGTGTATCGTGTGGTGAGTGTAAAGAACCGGAGATACTTTTTACTAGAAAGGAGGCATTTCACCTTAATTCTCACGGCTGACAACGCATCTGCATTTTCATTCGTAATCGAGGATAGACGTAGTATACGAGGCATTCCATCTCAGTCCTCAGGGATGTAGATGTCTATGAGCCACAGCAATCACTTACCATCAGATGGACTGTGTGCTTGTTTGTCACCCATAACTTTAAAAAAAGACCCTTGTTTAGCAGCGAGCCTAAAATACTGGTGAAGATAAAACTAAACAAATTTAACAGTAGAATAAATGCCCATACTATAAATATATATATATATATATATATATATATATATATATATATATATATACATCAAAGCATTAATAAAGTTTATTTTAATGTTCAATGATAATGATGTGATGAAATACTGTGGCAGGTGCAATTCCATTCACGCTTACTACGATATACATATAGCGTAGGTATGGGTAACATGATCATCCGGTTAATATGGTCACTTTAATATGGTAACTCAAAATCTACAGCCTTTCTAGCACTTCATCAGTCAATCAAATAAAAAATTTCTAAAGGGCCCTGCTTTATCGACGCCATTTTGACCGTGAATTACTATTCACTGTCAAAATGTCGTACTCTACTTAGTAGATATAGTCATTAACTGTTGTTTTAAGATGATATTAGGAAGTGTTTCTAATTATTGCCGAAGCTTGTTTGCTATTTTTTTCTTATAATATATGTTAGAGTATACGAATTTGTGGTTAAGTCTCTGTTCTCCTCCTAGTTTTGGTTTTATAGCGCGGCAATCCTTAAGGTGTCCATATTACGCACCTCAATATACGAAAAATAACATATCTGTACCTACATATAATATAATATGTCTTATAAGTAATACAATATTACCGATACAACTCCTCGGACCATCGCCAAACGGTACAAATGTGGTGATATTTGTATTTTTCTTGTTTATTGACAAAAAGCGATCGGGATTAAATCTTTCTGGTTCGGGGTAAAACTTCGGATCATAGTGGATTCCGATAACATTGACGTACACAGGCGTCCCCACGGTGATCGTAAGGCGATCGTCAAGTTTGTAATCTTTTGAGGCCATTCTGTCTAACCATCCCATTGGTTGATATTTTCGCATTGTCTCTGAAAAATTTTTTTCTTATATACATATAAATTAAATTCAAATCTCTAACATCGAAATTACTGATGATTTCTTAAATTTATGTGAATACTACTCATTAAATAAAACTATTATTTACGGATTTTATCGCGTTTTTAATTACTACTTTAACTTATTTTTATGATCCCGACGTTTCGGGTGCTTTACAGCACCCAGTTTGACGTCCCAATGTCATAGTTAGTCCGGTTACCTTCAGTTTTTGAATATTAATTTTCGGTCGGATTTACGCAAAACGAGCTTAATAGCCTTGCAGTGGTATGCTTGGTTTTGGGTTTAATTTTGTTAATTATAGGATCCCAAGCAGATGGCAGCGCCCATCCATCTTCTCTTTTGAAATTTGGATGTTTTTTAATTTCAATAGCCTCGCGTGGAACACAACACAACAGGAATCAGTGTTCTTTTGCGAGGATTTGTTTTTTTTTTGGTTCGAAATATCGCCGATTTGGTCGATAAACTTTCACCTGGAGCGTCCCTTCTCGACTGCGCCGTTCATTTCTGCAACATAGACTTGCTTTGTCTCTCTTTCCTCGTTCATTATTTCTACATGACAAAACCACCAAAACATTCCTTTCTTAATTCTGGTCACAACATCATCTTGCAAACCACACTTTTCTGTTATCACACAATTTCTCACTCTGTCAATCAGATTCAGCCCTAACATACTCTTTAATGACCGCATTTCTACAGGACCAAAAACAAGTACTCTGGTCCTTTTCTGCCACACCCAACTTTCATTACCATACATTAAATTAGGGACTAACACAACATTGTGAAATATGTGCCTTTTTTGACACATTCTAACTTTCCACAATAAAGTGTAGATTATAGGGTATTTACTCTATTTCCTGCGTTCTATATCCTTGTTATATCTACCATCCCTGCTAAACATACATCCCAAATACACAAACTCATTCACTTGCTCAACCAACTCCCGTTCTTTTCTTATTACACATATCGTTTTACTTTCTTTCCTTACAAAAACTATAACTTTCGCCTAACTTGCGTTCACTTCCCCTTTATTTTAATGACCTCTTCGTTAATTTAACCAATATATATATATATATATAAACAAGATGTACAGCAGCCCTGCCACAACTACCTCTTCAGTTCTTAGCATTTCGATACTCTATCATATCCAGCTGCCTTACCTTCTTTAACGCTTTTCATTGCTTTCATAATTTCATCCACACTTATCTCCCTACCTCTTTCCACTTTTTTCGGAATTTCTGTTTCATTTAATTCAAACGTCTCTTCACTCAAAAACATGCTTTCAAAGTATAAAATTTCAAAGTATCAAACTCAAAACTTCCTCATTCAGCATACAGCTATTCTCATCTCGTATAGCGTTCATTTTTGGCTGTTTTGAATTTCTCTTAGCAGTTCTCACAAGTTTCCAGAACGTTTTTGAAGGAAGTTACAGATATTCTTTTATCATTGTTACAACTTTTTTCCCAACAACTTCTTATTTTACTCTCTTACTTACACGTCTAAAGAATGCCTTTTTCTTTCAATCTTATCATTTATACCGCCTGAATCACCAGCTTTGGTTGCTATTAAATCTAGCCATGCTCTCTTCTTTGCTTCAACTTCCATTCGTACCTCATCATCCCACCATAACGTACTATTTTCCTTTCATTTGTTCAGTTATTTATACCACATACTTCGGTGGCTGCTTCCACAAAACCTTTCTTAACATCATCCCACACACTCTTCAAGTCTAAATCTAAATTATTCCAAACCACTAATATTTTCATTCAGTCAACATTTATAGTCCTATTTCACACCTTCATCTTGTATTCTTATACGCTGTAACGCAGTGGTAGACATAGATGTCCAACACCACAAACGTCTGGACGATTATTAATTGGACATAAGTCCAACTTAATATTAATATATATATACTAATAATAATCTGAATAATAATAAATAATCCTCATTCTTTCATCCATAATTATGAAGTCTATCATGCTTCTACTACAATCTTCTGAAGAAAGAAATTACTCGTCAGAAAAATATTAGAAGCCGGCCACAGTCGAGCGTGTGCCTGCTGTACTACCATATGTCAGAGGTGTCACAGACAAGATTGGCTACATCTTGAAGCGAGCTTCTATTAGAACATTCTACAAGCCGCCGAAGAAGATTAGTCAGTTCTTACCATTTGTCAAGTGTCTATTCCTCTACAAGATGCAGGAGTGTACAAGCTTGATTGTGATTGTGGTCTCTCATATATAGGGCAAACAAAGAGATCTATTAGAACCCGCGTAAAAGAACACATAGCTGACGTGAAGCATCAACGTTCCGGGAAGTCTGCAGTTTGCGATCATATCCTAGATGGCCCCAACCATTACATCAGATTTGATAGACCACAAATCCTCGCGAAAGAACATCGATTCCTACCAAGGATGATACGTGAGGCTATTGAAATTAAAAAAACATCCTAATTTCAATAGAGAAGGAGGCTGGGTACTACCACCTGCTTGGGATCCTATAATTAATAAAATTAAAACTAAACCCAAGCATACCACTGCAAGACTTCAAAACACAGTTAGTTCATTCTGCGTAGATCGGACCAAAGACAATAATTAAAAAGCTGAAGGTACTCCGGGTTAACTTTGACATTGGGAAGTCAGTCACCTCAGTCCCCCGTGACCATGGGTGCTGGAAAGCACCCGAAACGTCGGGTATTAAAATTAATATAAATAAAACGCGATAAAATCCGTAAAAGTAGTTTTAATCAATGTATAGTGTTCGCGTAAATATAAGAAATCATTAGAAAAATATTATTTTCCACACATACGATGAGGAGGTTTTCACCACTCCCATTTATACTTTTATCGCCAAACGTTCCCAATATCCTTTTATAACCAGATCTCTTCACACCAACTCTTCCATTAAAATGTCCTAACATAACAATATTTTCATTTCCTTTACATTTCATTAATACCACATTTTTTTCATCCTTACCATCTCCCAAAACTGCTCTGGGATACAAATGGGCTTAGATATGTCTCGGGCGTACACCCCTAGAACAAACAGTTTCCTAAAGCCCACTTTCGTTTCGTATCCATACAACCTTGAGCTTACACATTCATAATCTTTCACACATTAACTCATTATTTCTGAAAGGATGATAATGACTCCCTGGCATGCCCGCTTGGTCTCGTCTATACCAGACCAGTAAGCGGTAATACATGCCATGCCATGTGCAGTGGCATTCTTTCCCTTTCATTTCGTCTCATTTACAAATAACACATCTATTCCTCTATCATATATAATTTCGTATATTTCATCCATTTTATCATCTATTACTCCACATACATACATCATAGCCAGACGGGCGTCCGTAATCCACTTTTCGCCCCTCCGGGAGACAGAACGTTACGGGTGGCGGACCTCGTTGCCGGTTTTACTGTCAGAGTAAAACCCCTGCCCCATTAAAGGGGCGCCGAGAGTTTGGAGCTATTTCTTTTATTTTATACCTCATGGTGCAAACTAGGTAAATTTTACGCCTCTACCATGCGGCGAAGAACTGTGTCTGTACTTTCGACTTTGTTGCTCGTTTAGCATTACTCGGGGGACACCTGTGGGCCTAGGATTAGGTGGTCGAAGGTAACGGACGCGAGCGACTCATCCCCTTATTCTTTATCTCATCATCATCATCATTACAGCTCTTCACAAGCCGACTGCTAAACATAGGCCTCCCCTAAGGTATGCCACAAAGCACGGGCCTGAGCCACCTGCATCCATCGTCTTCCTGCATCTCTTACCAGGTCGTCTGTCACTCCTAGTGAGGGTCGCCCTACACTTCGCCTACCAGTACGAAGCTCTCGAGAACCTTTTTTCCCCAACGGTTGTCAGTTCTTCAAGCTATATGGCTGGACCATTGCCACTTCAGCTTACTAATCCGTTAGGCTATGTCGGTCACTCTGGTTCTACTGCGAGTATCCTTATTTCTAAGTTTATCACGCAGAGAAACCCCGAGCATAGCCCTCTCCATAGCTCGCTGAGCGACTTTGGCCTCATACGGCCAGCAGTGAAGGACCAAGTTTCAGTTCAGCATAGTGATGACCTATGATCACTAGCAACACGCACTGGTTTAATAGTCTCGTTTTCAGGTTTTGAGGTATAGCTGACGAATAATTTTTTTTATCTATATACATATAAATAAAATTGAAGTGTCTTTCAAAATAACTGAGCTTTATTGAGCTCAGGCAGTTATTTGTATGCCATTTAGACATGAATAACCACTTTTAACATGACATAACATGAAAAACCATTTTTTTTAATTTGTCCGTTAAATTGTCCGTCTGTCTCTACAGGCTTGTCTTCGGATCGGCTGAACTTCTTGTAATGAAACTTTACGAACATAAAAATAAAGATTAATGCCTGGAGTGATCCATGCAATATTTACTCGAAAGAATTTGGAGGTTTATTTTAAGAAATCCAAAGACATTTAAGTTGGTATATATATTTAAATCTCTTTGAAGAAACCCGAAACAGTATAAATGGTGTCTTTGATGATTATTTTATTTATCTTAAATCTAAATAATGCCACACTCATAAATCCGACTCAGATGAAGCAGGGGTGGGCAGCTAGTTTTAAATATAAATATATATATGTCAAGAACATGGTACGTACATAAATCTAACATTTAACCACACACTCTACTCTAAGCCAGAGTGCCAAATAATTCGACGTGATGTCCTTTGCAGCATGCTGAGCAACAATCTCAGAGTTGCACACAAAACCAAAAAATATATTTGAAAAAAATATAACGGTTTTATATGTTTTTTTTTATATATTTAAATAAAACTAGATTCTACAGATTATATCGCGTATATTAACTTATCAATTCACAGGATCTTCCCGTCACTACATCAGACAAAACAAATACAAATCCTCAACAAATAACAACGATTCCTTCCAAGAATGATTCGCGAGGCTACTGAAATCAAAAAATATCCTAATTACAATGGAGAAGATCGCTGGGTGCTACGAGGGCGGCACTGAAAATTTCGGGAATCAAGGAAGTGACACAACATTACTATTTAAAAATGTATTTATTGCTTTTCGAAGTATTCTCCGCGAAATCTGACACATTTTCCATACGATGGAACCAATCATTGAAATGGCAATGGCTCTCCAAAATGGCCGTTTTGTAGGCGTCCACAGCTTCTTCAGGTGATGAAAATCTCTGACCACGCAATTTATTCTTTATTTTAGGGAAAGTATAGAAATTATTAGAGCTTAGGTCGGGGCTGTACGGCGGATGGTCTAATAATTCTATGTTTTCTTGCTCTAAAAACTCTTTTGTTCTGTGTGCGGTGTGAGAACTCGCATTGTCGTGATGGAGGATGATGCGGCGGTTGCAGTTCTTTTTACGGAGTTCAGAAACCACTCTGTATTAACCGTTCATTGTCTCTCAAGAGGAATAGTCGTAACATGGCCGGTTTTGGAGACAAACGTGGCCACCATTTTTTTTTTTTGCAACACTCCGTGAACGAACAATTTTTGTTGGCTTTAACTCAGTTTCGAACACCCAAACTCGTGACTGGTTTTTTGTTTCGGGTTCGTACGCGTATATCCAGGATTCGTCACCTGATACGATATAGTATACAGCATTTGAGGATCCTGCGTGGAATCTTTCGAGAGTTCTGACGCACCAAGTAACGCGAGCCGCTTTTTGCTCTTCACAGAGCGAATGCGGTATCCATCGGGAAAACAACTTTTTACACCTAATTGTTCATCCAAGATTATTTGTATTTAACTCATGCTAATGTCTAAAGTTGCCTGAATTTCGCGGTATGTCACATGTCGATCTTCCTTAATCAGCTTACGCACAGCATCAACGTTTTCTTGGGTGACTGCAGTTTTTGGACGACCTTAACGGGGATCATCACTGAGCTTGACACGTCCACGTTGAAATTCGTCAAACCAGCGATATATTGTGGTTTTGGATGGGGCTTCATCACCAAATGCAGAAATCATCCGGTCAATACACTGTTTTTGTGTTAAACCACTTCGAAAGTCATAATAAATCATCGCTCTTGAATTTTCTCGAGTCAATTCCATTTTCTCAACGACTAAACAAGTTTGACAAAACCTTGTGACAAGACCGAGAATCTTTTTTTAAATAAATAAATGGTATTCGATTTTTAAAACCAAGGAGTTTTCAATTAAAAATATTTTAATATGACAGGAACATTGGAAATATTCCATTCCTGATACTTTTAGTGCAGCCTAGTATAATCTATAATTAATAAAATTAAATCCCTACCCAAGCATACAACTACAAGACTTCGAGATACTATAAGTTCATACTGCGTAGATCGGAACAAAAATTAATAATTTTAATCTGAAGTAGCCGCGGTTAATTAAGACATTGATAGGACGAACAACTCAATCCCCGTTGGAAATGGGTGCTGTAAAGCGCTTGAAATGCCGGGAATATAAAATAAGTTAATATACGCGATAAAATCTGTAAAATCTAGTTTTATTGACATAAATAGTTAAAAAAAACCTTATAAATAACGACGCACCGTTAATAACGCAGTCCAAATATTTTAGTTCAGTAAGACTGTTCATTTCGAAGTCAGCGTGACCGATTTTTTCCTTCGCTTCAATAAGTTCTTGGTAGAGTTTGTTCTGCAATGTAACGACAAAGTTATTTGATTCTGAATAGCAATGATTACAGCATATGATTATAAATATATTGTCCTTTCTATAAATGCAAGTTTAAAAATTGTTTTATCATCTTCAATTTAAACTTACTTAAATTAATATTGGTGGGTGTCGTAAGAAACGACAGAGGGAAACTGATTCAGGAGATGAACAGCAGCAGCTTTCTGATATTAACTTAAAATAATAAAAAACTGCAGTTGCCGGCGCTAAGAGAGGCCGATTTTGCGCAGTTGACTTTTACACATATATATAAACTAGCTTACCAGGCAGACGTTGTTCTGCCCTTTTCGACGACCCTTTGTCATGTCCTATTAAAAATCCTTAAATTTGCAAAAAAAACTATCCTATCTCTCGAGGTGGACCAAACTGCATACGGTGTGCAAATTTGATTAAAATCGGTTAAGTAGTTTAGGAGTCCATCGCGGACAAACAATATATATATATATATATATATATATATATATATATATATATATATATATTTATATAACGTGTCACGTCATAAAATAGAAATTACATACCTGTATTTCTGGATGGAATGCCAATTCATATACGCAATACGCAAAAATAGATCCAGTGGTGTCAAAACCGGCTTGCAAGAAAACCGCTGCTTGAGCCACTAAGGTATCCTCGCTAATGTCTGCAATATAACAATTATACTGGTTTAATTTATCGAAATGAATACCTTTAAACATTTTTTAATTCAATGGATTTAAAGATCTATCTTACCAGATCGTCGCTCCATCTAGTAGGGGCCTCCATACACTTTGCCTACTAATACGAGGTTGCCACTCGAGAACCTCTATCCCTACGGCTATCGATTCTTCGATTTGGCCGGCTAATTGCCATTTCAGCTTACTAATTCATTTTGGTATGTCGGTTATACCATCCTAGGAAGATAGGCAGGAAGGCGATTGATGCAGTTGGCCCAGGAACGTGCTTTATAGCTTTTCTTAGGGGAGGACTATTCTCAGCAGTGGACTGTGAAGGGCTATCTATAATGATGATCTTATATTACTTTTTTATCTTACTACAAAATGAGGATATCCATAGTGGGATCTGAGTAAGGTACTATCGATGGGGAAGAATAGGTGGCAGTTTCCTATTAAAAAGTGAAGTGTAGACTATATGGAGTACAACCGACGACAAATGACCTAGTAAGAGTTACAGGAAGTCGATGGATGCAGGTAACATAACAATGCAAGTGCTAAATCCAAATTAGTAAATTGGTTTATTGTTAATAATTTGCATTTAAATGACACTAAAACTAAATGTATGAAATTCATAACTCCGAATGTCAAACATGTTAGCACTAATGTAATTTTAAATGGGGAGGAGCTGAGTCTTGTTGATACCACCATTTTTCTTGGAATCACACTAGACGCAAAGCTTCAATGGCTCCCCCATATATCAAAACTAGCTAGCAGACTTAGTTCTGCAACATATGCTGTGAAAAAGATTAGAAGTCTTACCAATATTGAAACAACTAGACTAGTTTACTTTAGCTATTTTCATAGAATAATGTCGTCTGATGAACTCGCGACTGACACTGAAATTATATTTAGTTTACAAAAGAGGGTCATTAGAGCAACCTATGATTTAAAACCTAAAGAGTCGCTCAGACAAACATTTAAGGAAATTACATTTATAAATTTAATGTACACAAAAATAAAAGTAGTTTTACAGAAATAAGTGATTTTTATTCTGTAAATACTAGGAACAGACACGAGCTAGTAGTACCAGTTACTCGACTCCACCGAGTCAGTAATTCATTCTTGGGGCGATGTGTATGATTTTACAACAAAATCCCAGAAAATATACAAAGTTTGACCTGCACAAAGTTATAACTTTACTAAACTAAGTTTGTATAAAAAGTTAGTAAAATAAAAAAGTAGAATAAAAGTGTTATTATAATATTAAGGCATTTATGGATGAACCCTGGAAAGGGTGATTGCTACCGAGCTATTTCTAATTTGTTATGTGTTGTTAATTGTAACATATATGATTGTAAGCTGTTTTTTTTTTAAAGTCCGCTGGGTTTCTTGGTGGTTCTTCTCAGGACAGAGGCTTTTTCTGAATCAGTGGTAAATTAAAAAGTGACTTTCAATAAGTATTATTTATAATCTATATTGAATAAAAAGTTTCTGTTTCTGTTATACGTGGTGTAAAACCGTGATGAATTTACCGTCATCATTGGAGACCGTAGGGTGGACACCGCGAAACCACTAACGAAAGTGGAATTTCGATATAGGTAAATTCATATCTTTATCTTGAATTTGCTTGTTCAAAAACACGATTCTATAATTTCGACTCAATCATAATTATTTGCGAAAACACCTCTAAAAATCACTATAGTTGAAATTACAACTAAATTACTTAATCTATATGCTTGGGAATCACTCAAATATATTCATAACATCAATATTCATAATTTAATTGCTCATTATTTTGATTACTTAAATCAATATTTTTTTAAATATTTTAAGACTGACAATATCTAAGCGGTCTTTATCGTAGCGAGCGTTACGCAATTTTAGACCTTATGCCAGCGTTTTTTAAGTTTTTAATAGAAATTATGTATTCACTCGGATCAGTACGGCGATAGCCCGTACCAATTTTTCGATGTGTCGCATCGTCCGTACGAAATCAACTGTACAAAATTCTTCCGATAATTTATGTTTGTATACTCTAAATTGGTATCAACAACATCTACAACTATTTTTACTCATATTACTAGGTGCTAGGACTCCTTTTCTGCCTAGGAGTCCATCTGGATAGATCTCATCTCGTCTATTTTTTAGAAGAAATAGAATAGAAAGAAACAAAAAGAAGCGCTTTTACCGGTCAGAACGGTATAGAGATCCAGTATAATTACAGAGGCATTCAATCTTACTCCTCAGAGATGACGACGCATCTGTAACCATCTTTGTTGGAATTTTGCTGCAGGTGTCCAAGAACTTAAGTAGCCACTATGAGCAAGACATCAAAGTAGTGGTTCAGCTTCTCATGAAGTGTTAATCAATGAATATACAAACAAATATACATATAACAAAACAAAAAGCAGATTATATGTACAATTTGGCGGCCTTATCGCTACATAGCGATCTCTTCCAGGCAACCAAAGGTTTAAAGAAATAAAACAATGAAAACTAGGTAGGTGGTGCAATATAAATATACATAATATAATATCAATACATGCGATATATACACAATTCATGAAATTATATAAATTACTAATACTTACATAATAAAAATAAAGTAAAACATATAATATATATACACAAATATATGAATATATAAAGAAACTTACACATTTACCCAAAAAAAGAAGCAATAAAAATATAAACAAATTGAAAAATTTACCTTCGTTGTCTCTTACACAGTCTTGTTTTAGCTTTATTAAGGCATCAAGCAAGTCTCTATTCTCTCTTATCTCAACCTCATATCCTCCACGTTCGGCAACGATCGTGCGGAAAATTTTTCTAAAGTATTCCGTTACAGATTTTGGGAATGCGGTAAATCTAAAGAAAATTATTAATTAGTTTTTTCATAGAGATATTTCTTGTTTAAAAAACAAGTGAATGACTGTTTTCAAAACTCAAATGTACCAGCTAAAGGAATTTATAAATTTGAATTTGGAATTCTTAACCAAAGAGGAGATATTTCAGATCAAAGTGGTCAGTACGACAAAACGCTAATTTCATATATGTATATGTAAGGACCCAATATATGTCATAGTGCAACATATATGTATATGTAAGGACCCAATATATGTCATAGTACAACAAACGTAGAGAACCTTGCTCCTCGTAAAAATAAAGTTTTGATGCTAGAGTATCAAAATGATTTCATACTCAAAATCCTTAAACTAATTTTGAACAAAACATTGTATAATAATCTTTTTTTTTAAGCTATTGCATAGCTTCTATCGCGGGCCTTGAGTGCGAGAAAATCCAGAAATTTCGTAACTAAAAAAACCTCACGCTCTCCGACGGGCACGGAGGTGTGGCTTGAAGGCCGTGCATTGTCTAACGATGGTCTAACGTCGTTTCTTTTCCTCAGTCTTCGACACGGTGTTTGCGTATAAAGTGTTTTGAAATTTTGAATATGAATGAACAAAGTGCATTTATTATTAAGGTTGCTCTCTCGCAAAAAGCTTGAAAAAAGCGTGCAGATGAACCAACTTTTCGTCGACACTTACAGAGAAATTACATATGAAAAAAATAGCTAGTAATCTACATGATCTGATACGTAATTTGGTTTAGCCATAATTTTTCTATCGGTGTCACATAATAAATAAAAAAATACCCAAATCACCTCCAAATCGTTGAGATGAAACCACTTTACTCCTTCATTGTTTATCAAAGGAATATAAAAAAAATATCTACTGCTTTGCAATACAAAATAAAATAATTTGGTGTGGTTACTTTTTAGAAATATGTATTATTTTTATGATAATAAATTAAAAATGCGTCCCGATTAAATACTGCGTCTATATCACCCCCGCATTCGTCCACGAATTCAGTGCGGGGCGCATCGTGTTGCTAGGTGGACGTACGCCGCGTTGCGAGAGCTCAGCACTACGAAATAAAATCGTAAAATATTACTGCAAAAATTTAATTTTGTTAATAGTGGAGTAGGTTTTTTCTGATTCTTGTTTAATAGTAGTGTTTTATAGTTATATTAATTGTACAGTTTTATTAATGTTTAAGTTTAGTTTGTAAAACATGGGGAATAAGCAGAAACGATTGAAGAGAGGTCTAAAAAAATATTACAAACAAAAATTGATTGATTATATGTTGTTTAAAAAGTATTCTTATCAGTTTTTTTTTGTGTTAAATGGATGCTAAATATAAAAGAATGCTTCAGTATTGATAGCAATTTATTAACGAAATATCTGTTGAGATGTGTCTAGAAATTATTAATACTTATTTTTATTTATTTATTAAAATAATAAATAAATAAAAATAAGTATACATTTATCTATATTGAGTACTAGTTATTCCCCGCGATCTCGCCCGCGTGGAATATGGATTTCATGGGTTTTAATTTTTTTGCGCGGAACCCTAATTCTTTTTGTAAAACAAAAGTAGTTCAAGTTATTCCTTATATCATCAGCTATCTGCCAGTGAAAGTCCCGTCAAAATAGATCCAGCTGTTTCGGAGATTAGCTGGAACAAACAGACAGACAGACAGACAGACCGACAGACAGACAAAAAATTTAAAAATTGTGTTTTTGTTATTAGTACTTTCATATGCATTTAATAAAAAGCTGTTATTTCAACATTACAAACAGACACTTCAATTTTATTTATTTGTAGATATAGATATAAGATATTATTCATATTGGTGTCATTTTAAAGGGAATATCATGTACTATTATAATAATAAAATAATTGATAGGACTATGACACCACTAAGGGAAGTGAAATTTTGATATAGGTAAATTCATGTCTTTATCTTCTCGCGTCTTAACGCAATTCCTTTGTATAGTGCGACGTTGCCACTCTTATTAGTTATTCCGCTTCGTAATATTTTATTTATAGGTGATATTTTGTTTATGTAGGTATTCGATAGATTCCTATAGTCTGTTTTTTTCGCAGGAGACAAAAATAACAGATCTTTATTAGATTCTTTTAGCCCGAATAATACAGTTTTTATGATTCTGGTTCAGATTAGATTTAATTTTAGTCACTTAAGTTTCGTATATTGTTCAAAATAATGAAATAAATCCACAGAATCTGCAGTTACGAAAAAAAGCAATATCATTTTAGTCTCCGGCGAAAAAAAAAGATATATATCATGATTAATTTACCAACTAGTTATTCGTTTACTAAATACGAAAAAATATCTAGGATTCCCCAGCCGTGATACATTACAGATTGACTATATTATCATTTATTTTACTATTGTAAATAAGTACTAATTGTAGATATTGACAGGTTTAATAGAAGTTCATTTTCTTATATTGTGACTAATAACCTAATATGACCTTGGGAGGAAACTCATTTTAATATAAGATTTTACTGCAATGACTGCCAATGGGTTGTTAATTTCTACAATAGACCGTGGCGTATTGTTGCTGACATGAATAACTCCGAAAATATAATTTATTTACTTGATCGTGTTGAGTTTTTGTGCTCTCACTGCGAGTTTACTTTTTATGATCACTATCTTAAGGAAGAGTGCGAACTATTTACCTAATCTGTACTAAATTAATCTATACTTAACTAGATTCATTTTTGTGAAAGGCTATTTTTGTTAAATTAAGATATTATGTTTGGTTTTGCAGTTATTTGAATTACGTCGTATGACGTCAGATTATCGGTAAAGTTTAATACCGCACGATATTTGACGTCCATATAACCATGAATATATTTATATTTTAATTCCTTGTGTATAACACACGCATTAATGATCATTGATTTAATGACATTTTTCGCTATTGTTTTATTCGTATTTTAGTGTATGGAGGCCATACGGTGTAAAATAGTCAATTTGGTGTTTTATAAAATGTTTCGTTCTAGAAATGATAAAACGCTTAAAAAAAATTGTTTTCTTATCGGTCACCACGCTCAAAAAGTGTAACTTGATTTAATATCAAAGACTTAACTGCATAAATAAAATAAATAATTAATTATAATTGCATAAGTTGATAAAAAATGCTATGCAATAGCTTTACCGCGGCAGTCCCCGAGTGCCACACGTCTTTTTTTTTTTGTTAAATATATTACATGTACAGAAATTTGCAACAGTATCAAAATTAGGATACCTGTATTTTTGGGGCTAAATTTCTTCTCAATTCTTAATTCTACTTACCAAATATTAACAGTTTCCGAACTTTATTAACAGAAACCGAACAGTCAACAATATTTTACGTTATGAATGTCATCTCGGAAGACTAAGATGGAAGCACAATATGCAATTAAACTGGTTCCGTTCACCCTCAATAACAAAACAACTATACTTCGAGTATAAACACTGCTGTGTAGGGATTGAAAGTGTTAGTACCTACTCAGTTAAAACAGGTTTTTTTTTATAGGATAGGGTGACAAACGAGCACACAGTCCACCTGATGGTAAGTGGTTGCTCTGGCCCATAGACTTCTACCGTAGTGTTGCCCAAAATCGGTCTTGGTCTTGCAGTCTTGGTCTTGGTTGGTTTAATATATATATATAGTCTTGGTCTTGGTCTTGCGCCAATACTCCTGGTCTTGTTCTTGGTCTTGGTATTGCGCTCTCAGTCGTGTTGTTGGTCTTGGTCTTGCAGCAAGAGTCTCGCAAGTCTTGCAATTACCTATTAGCCTATTGTTATTTATTAAACGTTACTTTATATCTTAGAACAACTTAACAGAGTAGGCACATTTTGAGCTTGAATTAACATAGCCATAGAAAGACCAATCAAATTAATAAATGTCTAAACATTTAATGCGAGATTCGAAAAATCAACTAATACCAAGTGGGGTTTGAACCCACGACCTAAGCGATCCATGCCGATGCTCTAACCAACTGAGCTGTCTACCAAGTCTCACGGCCACGGGAGTTTACATTTAATAAGCTTACATGTGCTAAAACTTAGTCAAAACATATAAAAAACAAATTAATGACATTAAATTGACTGTATTATAAAGAACATTATCTGTCTAGAAAGAGATTGATAGATCCTTATATGAAATGGAATAAAAGAGTTATATAATATACCATTTATTTAAATAAAAAAATAAAATACAATACAAATTAAATTACATAACAGTACACAATAGCTTTGACATTACTGTTACTTTATATTAATTCTTTTGACCAAGAATTAATACAAAGTAACCATCTGGCTGACTCATCACTCAACCTATTTCTGTTTTATAATTACTAATAATGCTTTAGAAAATAATCTCTCAGCAGGTACTGAAGTTGCAGGTATTGAAAGAAAATCAGGGGCCATCTTCGATAAAGTCGGATATTCTGTCTCATGCGTCCTCCACCACTCTAAAATGTCTTCCGAACTGGCGGCTCTGAGTTTACTTAGGTACTCCTCCAACTTGTATATAACTAAGCTTTGATGAAAAGATCCAGATCCAGATGAGGTCGAGAGACATGCATATAATTTCTCAAAGTCTAGCAGGCTTTCTGTTTTAATTTGCTTCCCCCGTAATGTCATGTCAAAAGTCTGAGTCTTATGCCTTGGGTCTAAAATTAAAGAGGTACAATAAATCCAGTTGCTCTTTTTATAATATTTAAAGCATTTTGTCTCGAGCTGCTTGAAAACCCAGAATGAGTCTTTCATCCACTTCGGATCGATTAGGTTTCTCATCTAATTGTTTTACCATGGATTCAATTTTATCGAGCAAGAGATTGAATGATACAATAACTAGCGGTAATGTAACATATTTTTCTCCACCAAGTTTCGTTGATAGAAGTTTAAAGTTTATTAGAAACATGTATTTTTTTCGAGTATTTGCCATTCACTATCTGTGATTTGAAAATCATTCAATTCGGTGACAGAAGTGCATAATATGTTGATGCCAGTTATCACTTTTAAACCAAATCCAATCATATCATGTGTGGAATTCCATCTCGTTGGACAGTCGAGTATGGGGTTCAGATTTGATGGCACGCCAGCTGCTTCACAAGCAGACTGAAACTTCCTCTTCAATATCTCACTTCTTTTTATTTTACTGGAAATACTGCGTAATTTTGTTATAGCTGTACGTGAGTCAGCAATATTTGGCGCATATTCTTCATCTTCCTCAGTTTCGTCTTCATTATCTTCATACTGCTGTTTTTGTCCCTTATTGTCAGTTTCACTGTGTAATGCTAAGGTCTTTAATAAATCTTGTACACCAAGGTTCAAAATGTGAGCAAAGCACCGGAAATGTTGATTGTCTGAATCAAAGTGTGGCAGCTGTTTGTCCAATTCATACATAAATTTGGTATTTGCAGTTGCGTTGTCGACCGTGATACCCTGTATTTTATCAATTATGTCATATTCCAATAAGCATTATGTCCCCAGTATGTCGACCGCGTGATGGTATAAAATCAAGGACTATACGACAATAGTGACCCCGTAGTAATTCCTACCAGCAATTGATGTCCATCCATCAATGTTAAATGACATTTTAGATGAAAATTGTTGTAGTTGTTTCTTAAGATTCAATTGAAGCTCTTCAAACCGTTCTTTGACCTTCCTTCTAAGTGTGGACCTTTTAGGAAACACCATATTTGAGCGAATTGATCGAAAATATACTTGTTGTAAGATATTTTTTAACCATCCAATCAACTGTAACTGTCGTGATGTTGTCACTGCTATTTTCAGACTGAAATAAAACAGTAAATCATGTGTCTCGCCGATTATAAAAACAAATGAAAATATGAGTGAATTATAAATGCATATTTAACACTATAAGATTATAACTATAACACTATAAGATATTAAGATTGAACTGAACCCCATACTCGACTGTCCAACGAGATGGAATTCCACACATGATATGATTGGATTTGGATTAAAAGTGAGAACTGGCATCAACATATTATGCACTTCTGTCACCGAACTGAATGATTTTCAAATCACAGATAGTGAATGGCAAATACTCGAAAAAAATACATGTTTCTAATAAACTTTAAACTTCTATCAACGAAACTTGGTGGAGAAGAATATGTTACATTACCGCTAGTTATTGTATCACTCAATCTCTTGCTCGATAAAATTGAATCCATGGTAAAACAATTAAGTGATGAGTCAGTCAGATGGTTACTTTGTATTAATTCTTGGTCAAAAGAATTAATATAAAGTAACAGTAATGTCAAAGCTATTATGTACTGTTATGTAATTTAATTTGTATTGTATTTTATTTTTTTATTTAAATAAATGGTAGGTATATTATATAACTCTTTTATTCCATTTCATATAAGGATCTATCAATCTCTTTCTAGATAGATAATATTCTTTATAATACAGTCAAGTTAATGTCATTAATTTGTTTTTTATATGTCTTGACTAAGTTTTAGCACATGTAAGCTTATTAAATGTAAACTCCCATGGCCGTGAGACTTGGTAGACAGCTCAGTTGGCTAGAGCATCGGCATGGATCGCTTAGGTTGTGGGTTCAAACCCCACCTGGTATTAGTTGATTTTTCGAATTTCGCATTAAATGTTTAGACATTTATTAATTTGATTGGTCTTTCTATGGCTATGTTAATTCAAGCTCAAAATGTGCCTACTCTGTTAAGTTGTTCTAAGATATGTATAAAGTAACGTTTAATAAATAACAATAGACTAATAGGTAATTGCAAGACTTGCGAGACTCTTGCTGCAAGACCAAGACCAACAACACGACTGAGAGCGCAATACCAAGACCAAGAACAAGACCAGGTGTATTGGCGCAAGACCAAGACCAAGACTGGCTAAGTCTCGTCTTGTTCTTGCATTTGGGCAACACTAATCTACCGCAATCCTCGATTACGAATCAAAATGCACATGCGTTGTCACCTGTGAGAACTAAGATGGAATGCCTCGTTTCCAGTAAAAAGGGTCTCCAGTTCTCTACACTTACCGTACGAAATTCAGCAGCATTAAGCTGCTATTTAACGCTGGTATTCTGTGAGAGCGTAGTTCTTCCCGGGTAGAGCCGACCCGTTGGTGCTACAACTATACTACTACTATAACTGCAGCATGGCTCTACCGCGTATATAAACCAGGAAAGCGAGATGCTAGGCGCCGTTCAGGAGAGGACTGTTCAACAGTTTAATATTGTCAATGATGATAAATCTTGCAAGAACACTTTTTTATAGAATAAGGGTTACAAACGGCAGTCCATTTGATGGTAAGTGGATGCTTAGCTCCATAGACAACTACATCTATTCTCGATTAAGAATGAAAATTCAGATACTTTAGCACCCCCGAGGACTAAGATGGAATGCCCTATTTCCAAGTAAAAGGATCTTCTGTTCTCTACACTCACCAAACTAAACACGCTTTAAGCTGCTATTTGACGCTGGTATTCAGTAATAGCTTGGTTATTTCCCTTGAACTTACGCAAAATATACTTAATCAATACATTCTTACCCAAAAAAATCGACAATTTCAGGATAGAAGAAAATGCTGACCCAGCTTAGTCCCCTGAGCACATTGAACTCCATAAATTCTTTGGTGATAGATCTTAAGGGACTTTCTCCTGTAAGCGTGGCATCACCAGCTACTCCGAATGCAGAGGCTCCAATTATATCCGTAGTATAATCCGTAAACATCATCTGGAGGAAAGAAAACGATTTTTATCTCCTCTGAGATCAAGCATTTGTAAGTTTCATTCAATTTCAATTTCATTTCAAAATCCAGATTAAAGAAAGAAAGAATGAAAAAATATTTATTTTTACACACACAAGGCACCAGAATACAGAAACAAAGTCAAAACAAAAAAGTAACAATTTATGAACAAACAAAAAGCCAGTTAAAATTAGGAAAAAAAAATTGTATATAATATATATTCTTAAAACTGGTGCCTCAGGGTGATGCTAAAAGTTAGGAACCAATTCAGCATGATGTCAGGTTGGAAACCTAACGCTGATTTTCTATCGGCCCCCTGAATTGCATTCGTCTTCACCTCTGAAACCAGTTACCGTGTACTTCCGCAAGAACAATCAGTATACGTGAACTCTATGAAAAAACATATATAATTACTTATATAATAAATGATTAATAAAATATGTATATAATATATGACAGGATACTAATTAAATACTTTATTATTAGCAAGATACTGTGCGTGAAACTGTAACAACATAATAACATCAGCAAAAAAATAAAAAAATAAATTAAAATAAAATATAGAACATAAAATGTACCTCTCAAATAACCATCAGATATAGGACATGTTAGCATTAGTGTTAACCATGCCTAGGTCTTTTTGTGCATTTAACAAGTACTGTTTTAGGTGACTTTTAAAGGTAGTTATAGAGCTTAGCTACCTTAGAGGTGATGGTATGTTATTCCATATTTTCGAGGCTGCATAGCGTAATGCTCCCTTGAAAGATGCCGATTTGTGCTTTTGTACCGAAAGTTGGTGCGAGCACTGTCTTCTATCACATTGCCTCCTTGTAACAACCCAGCCAAGTTTATTATACAAGTAAGATGGTTCTTGATGTTTTATGACGCCAAAAAGCAAGCACGCTAGATGCAATTACTGTCTCGACTTCATTTTAAGTATTGCGTGATCATTAAAAAACGGATTAAATTGAATTCGATTTTAATTTCATTTTTAAATTTCAAATTCGATTTCAAAATCGTTTGAGCGATAATCTTGATATAGTATACTCTCATAAGTAAAGTAACAACCGAATTTTTTGCACAAACTTTCTTTCACTTCTATAAGAAAGCTCTTGGATCAGGCAAGAGTCTGATGGGCAGGTCTGTTGCTCCGTTAGTTAGATTTTATAGAATAAGGATGTCAAAGCACACAGTCCACCTGATGGTAAATGAATCCTGTGGCCCATAGACATCTTATATATATATATATATATATATATATCCATACGAAAAACAGCAATTAAGCTGCTATTTCACACTGGTACTCTGTGAAAGTGTGATCATTCCCCGGTCTGTAATCTGTATAAAAAAGTTAAGGGAAAATGGTAAATTAATGCTATGACACATAGACCAACATCTATCATACATATAAATAAAATTGAAAAAAAAGTTACAGCCTATATACGTCCCACGTGGGATATAGGCTGTAGCTTTAACTTTTTTTGACTTTCAATAAGAATTACTTGTAATCTATATTGAATAAATAAATATTCTATTCTATTCTATTCTTGAACCCGATTTGCTCACGTACTGTGAACTTTACAGCGAGCGCTAACCATCTGAGCTACCACGGATATCTGAGATACCACACAGGGGGTTTTATGTATGATATTATATTGCTGTTTGTCTGTCTGTGCGCACTAATCTTAGAAATGGCAGAACCGTTTGAATTGTGACGAAACCACTAACTAGTGATCCAGGATACATTTTATGATAATATCTTCTTTTTTTTTGTTAAACCGAAATACTGATAAAATAAATAGTTTTATTGATTATTGATTATTATAAACTGAACATTTTGTTTTTCTCTTTTACACAAAAATGTTTATAAAAAACTCCCTCCTCATTTCACACGGTTTTTAATGCGGATGTTTAGCCAGTTAATAGTCACATATGTACTTGTAATAGTGGAGACGAACTGTCCACTATTAACAGACTCCGAGTGGTTTTCTTTAAGGTGGAGAAATGAAACTACTGTTTATGTTTATGAATGTACTGTCGAATGGGATTCGGAATGGAATATCTTTTGCATCAACCTTGCCTATATTTATATGGCTGGCTCACTATTGATTTGCCAATGGTAACAATTAATATTTTGCCTAGCCAATTATATTGCCTATTTTATGACCAATGAAAACTATTTAAAATATACAATTATCTACGTTTCGTTTCCCGGCGTGAGACTTGTTTGTTGTTCACGAAGCTACGTCGCTGGACCGGGCTATATAAGACATGCAGATCGGTGCGCACGCGTAGTCGGCGGGCGGCGGCGGTGTGGAATACAGCTCCGGAACAGCAAGAGGAAACGAACTGCGGCGTTGAAGAAACGGCTCACCATTGGTCGACGGATACGTGACGATAGCGGCGTGTGAAGTCGGTGTGGCGCTGAATGATATTTGCGGCTGCTTCTTGTTTCTTTATAAGAACGTCAAATTATCTATATACAGTCCGCAGTATCTCAGTAGCCAAGAATAATTAGGAAATAAAATGTTTTTTTTTTATTTATTCTCGCCTTCCGCGTTATGGTAGCAGCGGAGTATATATTATTTATTCCCGTTTCGGTTTGATTAATCTGGCTGCTACATCACTCTCCCCCCAGCGAAAGCGTACCGGAGGCTTGACGACTCGCCCGTATTTCGTAGTTTTTAAAATAGGTTTCAACTGGGTTGATGTAGATGATGAATTTTCAAGCTTCCTCGCTGGTGGTTTTGATGATGATGATGAATCCTCTGCAGTATCCTCGTTAATAATATAGGCTGGCTTTAGTCGGTCGATCGATATAATCGTAGATTTCCTTCCGGGTATTTGTAGTTTAAAAGTCTTGCTATTTCTCTCTAATACTTTATACGGTCCATCGTAGGTAGGTTGAAATTGTTTTTTCATTGCGTCGTTTCTTACAAAAACTTGCTTGCATGTTTTCAAATCTTGGTGAATGAATACTGATTTATTATTTCTGTGTGATTGCATTTCGGTGCATTTCAACGATAAGGCTTTGTTAATTGATTCTCGAAGTTTAGTTACGAAATCGTAATCCATTTCTTGTTTGTTTGACGCTGCTGAACTGAAGAAGTCACACGGCAGCCTTATGCTGCAGCCGTAGGTTAGCTGAGCGGCGCTAAGACTAGTGTCTGCACGCGGTGTTGCTCGTAGTCCGAGTAGCACTGTAGGTAGCTCATCAATCCACTTTGTATGTTGAGATAAACGAGTTTTGAGTGCAGTCTTTAATGTACGATGCCATCGTTCGATTATTCCGTTTGACTGAGGATGGTATGCTGTTGTACGCGTCTTCTGTATTCCCATAGTTTGAAGAAGTTTGAGGAATAGGTTGCTTTCGAAATTCCTTCCTTGATCCGTTGTGATGGTTTTAGGTGATCCGAAACGAGTAATCCAATTTTCATAAATTATCTTCGCGACGGATTCGGCTGAAGTATCATCGGTAGGTATTGCTTCTGGCCATCTTGTTGTTCTGTCGATCATTGTTACGAGATAACGATGTCCTTGCGGTGAAGTAGGTAATGGTCCAACGATGTCAACGTGCAAGTGTTCGAATCTCTCCGTGGGTGGAAATGTAGCTAGACTACTTGATGTATGCCTTTGTACTTTGCATTTTTGGCATTGAATGCATTGCTTCGCCCAGTTGCCAACATCCGCTTGCATTGCAGGCCAAAAGAATTTTTCAGTGATGAGTTTTCTTGTTGTTCTAACACCTGGATGACTAATGTTGTGCAGTGCATTGAAGACTTCGCGACGACATTCTTCTGGTATGTATGGTCGCATGGTTGTCGTTGAGGCTTCACAGTATATAGGTAGATGCGTCATTGGCATTGTAACTTGCTTGATGGACAAGTTACCTTGCTTCGATAGATGTTTTATGTTGTCACTATCTCTGTCTTGTGCTGCGGCGATCTTATGATAGTCGATTGATGTAGGGCACGTTACACTGTCGATTGGTACGCGACTGAGTGCGTCGGCAACTATGTTGTCCTTTCCACTGATGTGACGTATGTCGGTCGTGAATTCACTTATGAAAATAAGTTGTCTTGCTCTTCGTGGTGTTTCCGATAGTGATGGTTTCTTTGGAAGTACATATGTTAATGGCTTGTGGTCGGTAAAAACGATCAGGTTTCGACCCTCGAACGTTTTTCTGAAGTGCTTGATAGCCATGTAAATAGCGAGTAGCTCTCGGTCGAATGTACTGTAGTTACGTTGAGTATCGGAGAACTTCTTCGAAAAATATCCAAGTGGTTGCCATTTCCCATTGCTGTATTGTTGGAGAAATGCTCCTGCTGAGAGATCGGATGCGTCGCTGAAGATAGCAAGGGTTGCTTCGTGTGATGGGTGAGCGAGTAAAGCTGCATTTTGGATCGCAATTTTACAAGCTTCAAATGCCTTCGTGGCTTCATCGTTCCATTCGATTGACGTTTTATCTTTTTTCTTCGTGTTGTGAAGGTAGGCGTGAAGTGGTGCTTGGATTTCAGCGGCTTTAGGTATGTGTTCTCTGTAAAAATTTATCATCCCAAGAAAACGCCTTAGCTCTTCGATAGTTTTAGGTTTTGCATAATCGATGATTGCTCTGACTTTTTCGGCAGGCGGTTTTATTCCTTCCTTGCTGACGGTGAAACCAAGAAATTGAACTTCTTGCTGTCCAAATATGCATTTCGAAGGGTTGATTGTGATTCCGTTGTCTTCTAATCGCTGTAGCACGGTGCGTAGATGGGTTTCGTGCGTTTCTTTATCAGGGCTTGCAACAAGGAGATCATCAATAAATGCGAAAACGAAATCCAGTCCATGAAGTACTTCGTGTATGAATCTTTGGAAAGTTTGACCTCCGTTCTTTAATCCTGGGATCATTCTTGGGAATTCGAATAATCCCATTGGGGTAATTATTGCTGTCTTCTCTATGTCTTCATCGCGGACTCTTATTTGTTGGTAAGCTCGGTTGAGATCGATGGTGGAGAATATAGTCTTGTCTGATAGTTGATGAGTGAAATCCCTGACTCGCGGTATTGGGTAGCGGTCAGGAGTGGTAATAGAATTCAGTCTTCTGTAATCTCCACAAACTCGTAATTCTCCGTTCTTCTTCGGTACAATGTGAAGTGGTGATGACCAAGGGCTTTTGCTTGGACGGCATATTCCTTGCTCAATCATGTTTTCGAATTCCTTTCGAACTTGCTCGTATAGGTGTGGTGCGATTGGACGTGCACGACAATGAAGTGGTGGTCCATTGGTGTCGATGAAATGCTCAACGTCGTTCTTCGGTGTTAATTTCATTGAAGTTATTCTTGTGATACCAGGGTATTCTTCGAGGATCTTGTGATACGGTTGTTGCACATCTATGCTTCTTATTGTGGGCAGATTGGTTGCTTGTACAAAAGACTGAGATGCAAGATTGGTTTTCCCGTCGATGATTCTTCTATTTTTGATGTCGACGACCAACTGGTGATGTTGAAGAAAATCAGCACCGATGATTGGTTTGCTGACTTTAGCGACGATAAATCTCCATTTGAATGGTCGGAGTAGATTAAAATCAAGTTCCATTGTTTTTTCTCCATATGTAGGAATAACCGTATTGTTTGCTGCATAGAGTTGAAAATCTAGTGGCTTCAACTTCTGTCCTTGCTTCGGCGGTAACACTGAGATATTTGCTCCGGTGTCGATAAGGAAAGTAAGCTTGCTTTTTTTATCGGTGACGAAAAGACGGTAGGACTTTGCTGTTACGCTGGATCCCGTCGCATCGAGCGTACTAGTTAGTTTTCCGTATTCGTATTTTCATTTTTGAATGTACACGGTGCTGTGCATTTTCTTGCCTCGACCCCGAAACGTCGATGATAGTAGCAGTAAGGGGATCTTGATGTTGAGCTTATTCGACTTCTACTTGCAGAGCGGTTGCGACGAAAAGGTGATCTTCGGTGTTGCTGATTGCGCTGGTTGTACTGTTGCTGGTAAAAGGTATGATGCTGGGAAGCTTTGAGCGCGGCGACTTCGAATGATAGCTTCCGAATTTCTTCGAGAAGAAACTGGGTATCATTGGCCTTTGTTGAAGTGTCTTCGATGATCGATATGTGTGAGCTACTGCTGTTTTCGATCATCTTGTCCGCCAGGAGTGCCAGTTCGTCGAGCTTCGTCTGCGTGCTGAATGTTTCGCTGACTGCTATTACCGATCGAATATGTGGTGGTAGGTGGTTTACCCACATTAGCCGTAGTGTTGAATCCGGAACTTTATCTCGCGCCAAAGTACGCATTTTGCGTAGGAGTTGTGTGGGTTTCTGGTCTCCAAGTTCTATTTCTGATAGAAGTTTTTGTAGCTGTCGACTGTCGGATTCTTCGTATGCGGAGATCAGACGATCCTTCAGTGAATTATACTGGTCGACTGCTGGTGGGTTGTACAACAGGTCCGCAATTTGTTCGATGTCTTGTTTCTCAAGTTGGGCTATCACCATCTGTGCTAATTGCGCTTGGCTCTTCTTTAAACCATTCGTTGCGGCTTCAAAACTGACGAACCAAAGTCGTGGTTTGTCTCTCCAAAACGGTGGTATTCTTAACGATAGAGATATACCGGCGATTTCTGGTTCCTTTACCGGGTTTGATGTATATGTGTTTGCCTCCTGCTCCATAATGACGGCTTGATTACACTGATTTTATATAAACTGAAGTCTTCCTTCTCGGTGTTCGTACGGGTTTCCTTCGCGGTGTTCGTGCAATAGTAGTGGTACGTCGCAGGGTGTTCCTTCTTGGTGTTCGTACCGGATCTTCCCCCCTCGGTGTTCGTACGGGGTCACCACTGTAATAGTGGAGACGAACTGTCCACTATTAACAGACTCCGAGTGGTTTTCTTTAAGGTGGAGAAATGAAACTACTGTTTATGTTTATGAATGTACTGTCGAATGGGATTCGGAATGGAATATCTTTTGCATCAACCTTGCCTATATTTATATGGCTGGCTCACTATTGATTTGCCAATGGTAACAATTAATATTTTGCCTAGCCAATTATATTGCCTATTTTATGACCAATGAAAACTATTTAAAATATACAATTATCTACGTTTCGTTTCCCGGCGTGAGACTTGTTTGTTGTTCACGAAGCTACGTCGCTGGACCGGGCTATATAAGACATGCAGATCGGTGCGCACGCGTAGTCGGCGGGCGGCGGCGGTGTGGAATACAGCTCCGGAACAGCAAGAGGAAACGAACTGCGGCGTTGAAGAAACGGCTCACCATTGGTCGACGGATACGTGACGATAGCGGCGTGTGAAGTCGGTGTGGCGCTGAATGATATTTGCGGCTGCTTCTTGTTTCTTTATAAGAACGTCAAATTATCTATATACAGTCCGCAGTATCTCAGTAGCCAAGAATAATTAGGAAATAAAATGTTTTTTTTTATTTATTCTCGCCTTCCGCGTTATGGTAGCAGCGGAGTATATATTATTTATTCCCGTTTCGGTTTGATTAATCTGGCTGCTACATACTTATATAATTAATGGCTGAAATGAAATAAGTGTTAGAGGAACTGAAAAACTACCTGATGGTGAAAACTTCAAACAAAGAAGACTCCTGCATTGTCATCTCTGAGGACTTACAATGAATGGTTCACAGTCTGTAATTATAACGGCTCTCTTCAAACCGGAATACAGTAGTGCTTGCTATTTAGAGGCAGAAATAGTTAAGTTACCTAGATGGCAGTTAACCTACCTAGATGGATGGATAGTAAAAGTACTCCTTTCACCTAGTACATTAACAAAACAAAACAAAAAATAGGTTGGATGATTTAATATAATATTTTGAAAATAAATTATTATGTGTGGTTGCGCCAACGTACACACTTGCATTTCGTATTTGTTGATGTATTTTGTTAGTTAAGTTGGTTGACACCATCCCCGCCAAACGCGGGAAGCTAGATACTGGTGGACGCATCTTTGATCCTCCAATGAGAGGCGCGCTCCGCCAAGGTATGAGGAAGACGGCAGAAGCTATTAGAAGATGCGCGCCATTACCGTCGCGCAGCATTCCGCTTGCCGCACTGCTCTCAAGCAGTCGTGTCAAGCAGTAATACTGTGTTACTGTTTCTTAGAATAGGCGTCACTTGTTCTTTTGAGAGCAAGCCCTTTGTTCTTCTAAGAACAAAGGGCTGACCCCAGTTTCTTGGAATACAGCGTTAATCTCCCAACATGTCCACCATGAATGCTAGTCAAGTTATGGCTCTTTTCCGCCAATTCCTAAAAACCCAAGGCATAGACCTTGACGGCTTCGCCATAAAGTGAGGGGGCGCTTACCTGAGGGCACGGGGGTAACCCCCGTGCCCCTCAGGCATATAACCCTTCGCCCGCCGTCGCGGCTTTCTTAGCGGCCCGTGACTCCGAATCCATAGAGTACTCGGACACCGTGTCTTAAACTTCGTCCACCCATAAGAGGTCCGCTCTTAAGTCAATCTCCTCATCCAGTAGCTGCTCCTCGGACTCATCAGAGTCCGATAAATCAGTTATTGATACGACCCCCTTCACGGAAGTGAAATCCAAGCGCGGTTCGAAACGCGCTACAACCTCTCGCACACCTCACGTCCCGGTAGCCCCCGCCGCGGCCCGCACCCCCGCAGCCCCCGCCGCTGCTCGCTATACCTCAGCCCCTGTCGCTGCCAAAAAGAAACAGGTCCCGCCCCCCGTCTTTCTCAGGGACAAGACGCAATTTACAAGACTTTCTAAAGCCTGCTACGATGCAGGCTTTAAATATGACCAAGCCACCAACCTCGGTGAGTCAATTAAAATCGTTCCGCAGTCTATGTTAGACTTTCGGAACATCACCAAACTCTTCACATCCGAAGGTGTGCCGTATCACACCTCCTCTAATCCTCCGCGGAGTTCCGTTTGAACTCGCCAACGAGAAGATCCTGGAGGACCTTAAGTCCCAGGGATTCCCAGTTGAGGCTGTGCACAAGATGCACAGCAGTAGGGGCAAAAAGGTACTCGCTTGCTCTCCTCATTCTGTCCAACGTGCCGGAGGCAAAAGACATATTCCGTCCTTCTAAATTCAATTTACTTAGTCATCCCATTCGTAAGCTGCCTTAGTTAGGCAGCAATTCTTCCCAGCGGCTACTCGCCGCTAGCGCTCCCCCTTTCACCCAAGGGGGGGTCGCGTTCGATAAGGCTTAGAGATCTCTAGCTAGATTGTTAAGCCAGTCCCTAAAGGCGGTATTTAGTGGGTGAAAGTCTCCACATTACCACGCAGCCGGCAGCGTGGTGTGCTATGAGCATTCACCGCCTCCCTCCCCCGCTTTCCGGAGGGTTGCCCTTATTGCTTTGGTCGCAAAAAAAAAATACCGTCGCGCCAGTGCAATACAATTTTGGTCGTGTCCGCAAGCCGACAACAGTTCGCATTCATCATCGTGCCCGCATAGCCTTAGAGAGAGGCCGCTCGCCGCTTCCTGTATATTTTATTTACTTTTTGTGCAATTTCCACACCGACACCAGTAAGGCTAAACATTATAATGCAACTTTGTACCATGTCCCAGAAATAAATTAAATTAAATATTCTTACCCTGAGATCTACACGTTTGTTCGCCTTCATTTCAATGTCTATTCTTTGAACCAACTCCTTAGATTTTTGTTGCATTATGCGAAAAACCCCTCTTAACTTCGCTGCAGTGAACACACTCGTCAAACGGCGTCTCAAAAATGACCAGAGGGGATCCTGTATGAAAGACACTCGTAATAATACAATTAAGTAATTTTAAAAACTACTTTATAGCAACGATTCTTCATCCATTACCTACAACCTACAAGTCTGTTGTTGAGTATAAGCCTCCTCTATAGAATGTCTCATGCATGGAGGGGGGATTATAAAAGATCATATAATTGTATATTTTTTGTATTTTTATTCAACAAAAGCTTGTTCAATTTAGGAACGAACTAGCTCCTGTTACTCAGGTTAACCTTTTACAAGAGCTATGATCACATTGATATGTATAAATTCGTTTTTGTTGCAATAAAGATTTTTTCAATTTAAAGATTTTTTCAATTTAAAATTTTCAATTTAATTGCCACGCTTAGCAGGTGGGTTGGCAACTGTAGGTATAATTTTGAATTGTTGTCAGAAAGATACTGCTGCCTATCTCCCGTATCAGTTTCCCTCTCTAGCCTCTTACGACACTCTCACTCTTTCAAATATTTCGTTTTTAATGTTAGTGAGTTTCGTATGGTGAGTGTAAAGAAACGGCGACCCAGTTTACTGAAATCTGGGAATTCTAACTTTGAGAGTGGTGACAATGCATCTGCATTTTGATTTTTAATCGATGGTAGATGTAGATGTTTATGAGTCACAGCGTCCACTTACCATCAGACTGTATGCTTATTTTTACACCCTTATTCTATAAAAAAATAAAAACTTTTGAAAGAGGCCTGTGTTCTGACTAGTTTTGATTAGACAACAACAAAAGTAAAATTATATAAACACAGGTTAATATATTAAGCGCAGCTTGTATCTCATGACTCTGTCATGCGATTTTACAAAATACTTTTTAGCCTTTTCTTATCAATTAAAATTTTACTATAAGATAGTTTCAATATAACATGTTTGATTTTGGAGTTTAAAAAAATGCCTCTAATATTTTCCTTCTAACCGAATTTAGATCACGGCGGCCAGACTCAACGTTGTCTAGCCATTTGCGACAGGATTATAGCGTCCAAGTGTGCACAGGTGCACTCTCTATTCTCTCAGATAATCATATACGACCGGAGAGAGATCAGGCGCATAATAATAACGCCCAGTCTATAATAATAAAAGACCGTAGTGATCGAAATTAGGTCAACCTATCACTACGGTCAGTTTCAACAAAGACTAGCCATCTCAGAGGACGAAATTATAGTGTACAAGTGTGTGCACAAGCAGTGCACCTGGACTCTCTTTCACCTCCCTCTCATAGTCCGAAGGGACGGTAATCCGTCGTGATTTGAGAAAGATCAGGTGCAGTACCAACGGCTTTACGTGCTTTCCGAGACACGGGTGACAAGGCATCTGCATTTTGATTTGTAATCAATGATAGATGAAGATGTCTATGGGCCACAGCTACCACTTACCATCAGATGGACTGTGTGCTCGTTTGTCACCCTAACCTATTAAAAAAACGGGGAGGAACACCGCCAACTTCCTGACTCCGGGCTGCTACCGAAAATTTCTTGACAAAAAAACCAACTACTGATTATTTTTCGACCTGGGTATCAAACACGAAACCTCATGATCCACAGTCGTGCTTACGTCGACTACACCAACGAGGCAGGCGATAACCATACTAGATAGAAGGGTTAACATCCTCTTTGTGTGATACGAGGTTATCATGCGTTTATAAGAGAGCAATATATACCACTTACTTTTACTGTAAATAGGTTGAGACGTCCAATCGGATCGGAGGGTCCGGGGCTCAGAAATCTATCTTTGAAAACAGCGGCATCCTTTATCAATATATTCCGCGCTATTTCTGGGTCGTTGATGATAACGGCCGGACGAAAGAACACCCACATTCCCACGTATGGTGTATCAAAGCTTTCGTATACATTCCGCATCCAGATCGCCTTGAAAGTAACATAATTTTATAAACAAAATGAGCGCGTATCTTTCCGCGTAGTTGAAGGTTGAAAGTGAATCTTATTATTAATAATAAATGATTACATTTATTTCTGTTATTTATTTATTATAATATTATGATCTATTTATTTATTTTGACGTACTTGTAATTTATTACTTAAAAACAATATAAAAGTAAAAAAGTAAAGTTACAGCCTATATACGTCCCACTGCTGGGCTCAGGCCTCCCCTCATTTCTGAGAGGATTTTAGGGCAAGGAAGTGTCCGCCGCGCTGCCCAAATGCGTGTTGACGAACTTCACATGTCTTCGAAAAAATTTTTTTTCTTATTCCTCAGACATGCAGGTTTCCTCACGATGTTTTCCTTCACCGCCGAGCACGTGGTAAATCAGCACTTAAAATTGCAATTAACAATTTCATTGGTGCCGGTGGGGATCGAACCCGGGTTACTCGCGTTCTGTTATATTTACAGCGAGCGTTAACCACTGAGCTACCACGGCTCTTAAAAAAAAACTATATAATTAAAATCAATAATATCGTTAGAAATAAAAATCGACGTTAATTTAAGGAAAACCGAAAGATGCTCCCTTTTTATCTCTCCCTCCCTCTTTCGCCATAACTCTCTCTTTTTAATAAATTACAATAAATAGATATATATATATATATATATATATATATATATATATATATATATATATAATATAATTTTAATAATAATAAATTTATTTATTTACCAGAAAACACGTAGCCAAAATACAATAAGTTCTGTGACTCCCACACTAGGCATGGCCTGTCTCGTGCGGGTCAAGCAAAAGATTTTACAATTGATCAAAGTGGCTATTTGTCGAAATTACGTAAAACAATTACGTGCAGCAAAGCAAAAATGACATGAAATTTATGAAAAATTACAGACATAACAAACAGATTCTAATTAAAAGAAGCGCGCGTGTACTTGTGGGTGAATGTGTATGAATGTGTGTGTGTGTGTGTGTGTGTATGTGTGTGTATGTATGTGTGTGTGTGTGTGTGTGTGTATGTGTGTGTGTGTGTGTGAGCGTATGCTAGCATGTCTGTTACATAATTCTCTAAAAATTATAAGTAAAAGGGCGAGAGATTGCAATTGGGGATAAGCTGAGTGGTTAGGTAGCCCTACGATTAAATTCTTGGGATCGGACGACAGGGCGTGCGTCAGTGCAGTCCACTACCGTTTTAACACCTATTTAAGGGTAACCAATATTTCTTCTGATTTCTCATAGTCCCAAGTCAATAAATGACCTCTCATTTTTATTTTAGCCTCATAAAGTTGGGATCGTTTTAAGTCGTATAAGTTGACTAATTTGTTGTAGATGCGAGGGAATTGGAACAGTCTGAAATGACGTGCGAAAGATGTTTTAACTAAGGTTGTGGGGATCTTAAACACTCTTTTATTTATTAATGTATAAAACGTCGACAGTTTTGAAGCTTCCCTGTGCATAAATGTAAAGGCCCTCAGAAGATACAATCTACGGACACTTAAAACTTGAGCTTCTCTAAAGAGATCTGACGTATGATAGCGCCTTGGTTTACCCATAGCTACCTTCAAAACTGCCCTCTGGGCCCTTTCCTTTATATATACATATATATATATATTATATATACAATAAAAAATATCATAATTATTTTTCTAAGGCTAACGTATGCTTGATTTAAGAAAACAATAGTCAAAGATTATAATAAGTAAGGAAAGGAAGGCTTTTGTGCCAAGGAACGTGTCTGGGGAGGTTTCACCTTTTTTTATTTCTGCGGCCAAGCAGCAGTGCCTGTATTGCAGCTGTCGTGCAATCCTGTATCCTTATCTGCAGGGTATAGAGACCGGAATAATTACTGGCTGTGAGATATTATATCTCAATTTTCAGAAGTGACAACGCTTCTGTCACCTTCTTTGTTTGAGTTCATTAAAGTAATTAATTGCAGGCGTCCATAGAATGCAATCGAAAAAAAAAGCTCGGATAACCGACTACCGATAGGGAAAAAAGGTTATCCAGTGGCAGCCTCGTACCAATAGGCGACGTATAGGACAACCCCTCAATAGATGGTGTGACGACTTGGTAAGACATGCAGGAAGTCGATGGATGCAGGTGGCTCAGGGCCGTAATTTGTGGCATTCTTTGAGTGAGGCCTATGTTCAGCTGTGGACTTGTGAAGGACTGGGATGATGATGATGATGATAGACTGCAATAGCCACTAACCATTAAGTGGACTATAGTTCGTTTGTCACCTGTTTTATAAAAAATCATAGATGTCAATACTTACTGGATTGTACCTCATCAAGAAAGTTAAGCTCCCGAGGAAAGGGTAGACGGGCACGTGCTTCACACCACGCTCCGCCCAATACATACTCAGCTTATACCACATCAAGCAAAGCCATGTCGAGGTGCAAAGTGCTGTAATAATCAACAATGACCAGAACATCTGGAAGCAGATATAATCGCAGTTTTTATTTTTTATTTGTAGAAAGATACACATGCGCCGCCTATATATAGTTACTAAGCAACGATATGGAGTAGTGGATAATCTTACACCGCCACTAACGGTCATTACTTTTGTTACAAGATAGAGCCATGCTGCAGCTATAGTAGTAGTATAGTTGTAGCATGAATGGGTTGGCTCGACCACGGAGGGACCACGCTTTCACAGAATACCAGCGTATTGTGTGTGTAGAGAACCAGAGAGCCTTCTTACTGAAAAGGAGGCATTCCATCTTAGTCCTCACGGGTGACAACGCATATGCATTTTGATTCGTAATCGAGGATAGATGTGGTTGTCTATGTGCCACAGCAACCACTTACCATCAGGTGGACTGTGTGCTCGTTTGTCTACCTCATCTTATAAAAGAATACTGCTCACGGTCACAGCTATCTTATAAGCATTATTTAATTTCTATGATTAAACTCTTTAAAAAAAAGTTGAAAAATGTTAAAACCGACCTCAAAGAACTAAAAAGAAAATAATCATCGAAATCGATGGATGTAATAAAGAATTATTAGCCGAGATGTCGCCATTAAAAATTGAAGAGTTTGAAATCAAAATCTTGTAAATCACTAGAAAACGCAGGAACTAATGTGTCTTCATACTCCACGGATTCCGAAATTGCACAAAGAAGCTTTGACTTAATGATTTCTTATATTTACGGGAACAGACCATCTTAACTCTATAAATTCTAAAATTCAGTTCACAATGGAGTTAGAGGCAAACAATTCCTTAGCTTTTCTAGATGTGTTAGTAATTCGGAATCCTGATAACACCTTGAGCCATACTGTGTATAGAAAAAAGACCCATACAGATAGATATTCAAACGGTGATTCTCACCACCATCCTTCACAGTTAGCTACCGTGGGTAAATCTTTGTTTCAGAGAGCACGAGGGATCTGTGACAGTAAACACCTGGCTGCAGAGCTCCACCATGTCAAGCAAGTTTTGCATAACAACAGGCTTCGAGTCCCGCGCCTACGTCACAGTGAACGAGTGAAGCCGGCCACAGTCGAGCGTGTACCTGCTGTACTGCCATATGTTAGAGGAGTCACAAGATTGGCTACATCTTGAAGCACGCTTCCATCAAAACATACTTCAAGCCGCTGAAGAAGATTGGTCAGTTTTTACCATCGGTCAAGTGTAATGTCCCTCTGCAAGATGCAGGAGTGTACAAGCTTGATTGTGAATGTGGTCTCTCCTACATAGGACAAACTAAAAGATCAATAAAAACCCGCGTTAAAGAACATATAGCTGATGTGAAGAATCGACGCTCCGGGAAGTCTGCAGTCTGTGAACACGTACAGGATCGCCCCCCGTCACTATATCAGATTTGATAGACCGCAGATCCTCGCTAAAGAACACCGATTCCTTCCAAGGATGATTCGCGAGGCTATTGAAATCAAAAAACATCCTAATTTCAATAGAGAAGATGGCTGGGTGCTACCATCTGCTTGGGATCCTATAATAAATAAAATTAAATCCCAACCCAAGCATACAACTGCAAGACTTCAAGATACCATAAGTTCATACTGCATAGATCGGAACAAAAGTTAAATTTTAATCTATGGTAACCGCGGTTAACTATGACAGATGGACGTTGAACATCTCAGTCCTGCCCGTGACCATGAGTGCTGTAAAGCGTTCGAAACGTCGGGTATTTAAAAAGTTAAAATATACGCGATAAATTCCGTAAAAACTAGTATTATTTCAAGCTTTGACTTATCTACACACTTACATATATACATACTCTTGTAAACGAACTAAAAGAGAAAATGAACTATTAACTTCACAATTGCATAGCATATAAAATGACTTAGAAAACTTAATTTTAGAAAATTTCCCATTGGTTGCGCGGAAAACCATTCGTATTTATTTTTATTTGACGGTAGGCTTGCCAAATCGTTTATCCCTTTCCAAACGATATCATTCATACCCTCCTATCGACACATCGGGGTGGTGGGGTGGGAGGGGAAAGAAGATGATTCTAGAATATTACGCGATCATCGCAACCGAAGGAATAAAAAGGCACGCGCGGCCGACGCGCACTCTCTTCCCGCCGCGCTCGTCGTTGGAACCACACCGCCTCTCTTCCCGCCGCGCTCGTCGTTGGAACCACACCGCCTCTCTTCCCGCCGTGCTCGTCGTTGGAACCACAACCGCTCCCTTCCCGCCGCGTTCGTCGTAGGAACCACACCGCCTCTCTCCCGACGCATCTCTGGGCCCCAGAGAGTCTACCCAGAGTGTCTTCTAGAAGTCGCAGCGCAGCAACATAACATAGTGCCCAAGCCGCATAGAAGCAACACCCCGGTGAGTGAACATTCCTACTAGTTCCTGCTTGATATAATTGTGTTTAATAGTTAATCCGCTCCAATTTTCATTTTCTCCTAATCAAGCAGGATTCCTTTCATAGATTTGGCAAATAATAGTTCGTTTTAGGGAAGAGCGAGTGCATTGTATGGGAACCGCGTGCTATAGTCGCCATTTTGGGTAAACAAAGAAGCATTTCGCATATACAGTCCACTTTGGTTGATATCTCGCGTAATAGGTTTAAGGTTCGACCGGGGAATTAGACTTCGGTAACCTTAGGCTCGTCGCTCCACCATTTTATGGTCACTTCGGCAGGATTTGGACTGGTGTTTAGTAGTCGTTCAACCATTTTCTGGTCGAATTATTAGATTAATTACTTAGACAATGCACTCTAATTTACGGAATAGACTTAAATAGTGTTCATTTAAAATTTAAATTTTGGTTAGTTACTTGCAAATAGAATTAATTCTTCATTTTAATAATATTCGCTTAGTTTAAAATTTAAATTTTGGTTAGTTACTCGCAAATAGAATTATTCATTTAAATAGTGTTTGTATTTGGTTTAAATTTAAATTTTAAGTAATTGAAACAGTGTAATCACATGCGTTTTGTACGCTTACCCGACAATTTTGATAAACATATATTGAGTTTAGCGAGCGACGCGCGTCACCTAGGCACGCATGTCCATCCTCCAGCGTTGTGCAATTAATTGTGATTAATATAATATTAATTACAATAATTTAAAATGGCAGTTAGTGGAAATGAAATTAAAATTAAAACGCTTTATGCCAAGAGGGACATACTTTTTTCACGTATACAAGGTATTAGTGATCACATAAAGAACATTAATGTAGAGGCAGTGCGGGAAACTTTTTTGAATGAAATTGAAACGGTGGATTCTTTGCGGACGGATTACGAAAGGATATTAGACCAAATTAATCATTTGCAATTACAAATCGACCCGAAATATGTAGTGAACTACCAACCGCTTCTAGCCTTTGAAGACATGTTGTGTCGCATGAAAAAAACGGCGAAACTACAACTAACAACTACAGTCTAAACTACAGTCTCCATCTCAAAACGAAGCAAAGCCGGAAATCCAGGTACGCCCACGTGACTCAATTAGGTTGCCGCCAATAGATATTCCGGTATTCAATGGTGATATTAAGACATGGCCCCTCTTCTTCAGTAGTTTTCAAAACAATATACATAATAACCCATCGTTATCAGACGCTGAAAAATTATATTATTTAATTAGTAAACTTAGTGGCAGGGCACAGTCAATTTGCTCGGGTTTTACACCTACAGCAAACAATTACTTGTTAATATTCGAAACGCTTGAAACTAAATATGAAGATAGGAGAATGTTAGCTTCCGAATATTTGAACCAGATATTCGATCTTAAACCTATATCATCCGCGAACATCAACGGCTTAGAGCAGTTTTTAGATAGATTTGTGGCATCGGTGGCTGCACTTAAGAATTTGAAATTTAATGACCTTATGGACGTGGTGATTCTCCATATTGCATTAAAGAAATTAGACCCCGACACCGTGCGTGCGTTTGAAATGGAGCATCGTAGCTCGGAGATGCCTTCCTTTCATTCATTAGCATCGTTTGTGCGAGATCAAATTAAGGTGATGCAGCGCTCCTCGAACGTTAAACAAGAAATTAAAAAATGCATCGACCGTAGACCGACTCAACCATCTAAAACAGCAGGGTCGTTAACGTACGTAACCGCTACGTCGGCACCACTTCAGCATGCCTGTATCATACGTAAAGATAAACACGATAATTTATACAATTGTGCGACCTTTCGTAAATATTCACCAAGCGAACGTTATAAATTAGTAAAGACAAACAACCTATGTCTGAACTGCTTAAGCGATAAGCATTTAGTTGCAAAATGCAATTATATGTAGCAGCCAGATTAATCAAACCTAAACGGGAATAAATAATATATACTCCGCTGCTACCATAACGCGGAAGGCGAGAATAAATAAAAAAACATTTTATTTCCTAATTATTCTTGGCTACTGAGATACTGCGGACTGTATATAGATAATTTGACGTTCTTATAAAGAAACAAGAAGCAGCCGCAAATATCATTCAGCGCCACACCGACTTCACACGCCGCTATCGTCACGTATCCGTCGACCAATGGTGAGCCGTTTCTTCAACGCCGCAGTTCGTTTCCTCTTGCTGATCCGGAGCTGTATTCCACACCGCCGCCGCCCGCCGACTACGCGTGCGCACCGATCTGCATGTCTTATATAGCCCGGTCCAGCGACGTAGCTTCGTGAACAACAAACAAGTCTCACGCCGGGAAACGAAACGTAGATAATTGTATATTTTAAATAGTTTTCATTGGTCATAAAATAAGCAATATAATTGGCTAGGCAAAATATTAATTGTTACCATTGGCAAATCAATAGTGAGCCAGCCATATAAATATAGGCAAGGTTGATGCAAAAGATATTCCATTCCGAATCCCATTCGACAGTACATTCATAAACATAAACAGTAGTTTCATTTCTCCACCTTAAAGAAAACCACTCGGAGTCTGTTAATAGTGGACAGTTCGTCTCCACTATTACATATAGTTCTGTATGTAGCAAGTGCGCCAGGAAACA